ATCATATGACCCCTTTAATGTTTGCCTACAAAACCACCACTGGCTCTGCACCCCTTTACCTAAATTCATTACTTCAGACTAATGTGCCCTCTAAAAGCTTACGTTCTGCAAATGAACGTCGCTTTATTGTGCCATCCCAAAGAAGCACAAAATCCCTTTCACTGACTTTTAAATTAAATGTTCCCTCCTGGTGGAATGACCTGCCCAACTCAATCCACTAGTCCCTTTTAGACTTGCACTCTAATCATTTGCTGCTTGTATTCTTTAAAAAGATAACACTCGTTTTCTAATCTTTTTGTATTCTGTTTACTTTTTGTTTATTATACTATTAACAAAAGCAAAAAAAAAAGGCCTCTAACACTAGCTTGCTCTATTCTTTTTCTATTCTATCTGTTTTCTTTTTATTTATTATACCCTTGATATGTGTACTGCGTTAAGCTAACTGAGACTTGTTATAGCACTTCTGTATCATTGCTCTTTTGATTTTCATTGCTTCCATTGTCCTCATCTGTAAGTCGCTTTGGATAAAAGCGTCTGCTAAATGACTAATTGTAGATGCGGACACAGCCTTGACGATGAGCTCGCCGACGCTTGGGCCCGTTCTCTAGCATTTAGCTGCTGATTTCTTCTTGGCTGCTTTGGTCACGGCAGCTGCAGGAGCGCTTTCTGCCATGATCTCTATGAACAAATCTGGGCTCAAATGCTAACTGACTTGATGATGATCAACAATGAACCACTGCAGGGTGGCACTGCGCATTTAACCACAACATGAGAACCGCGTAGACTCAATCTACTCTGCTCAGTGTTTGTGCTCCTGCACGAGCTGTTCGTGCTTGTGTTTTCTCTTCTCATATTTGGAGCAAAACTAAAGTAGCAAAATAGTTTGGCTGAGCAAAAACAACACACACATCAAACAGAAGTACTTAACATTATTTACAGCCCAAAACATGTGACAAGTGAACATTTATTTTACCAACGTCAGTTCAAATCCACGGCGTAGGTTGCCTATAAATAGGGTTGGGAGGGTTACTTATAAAATGTATTCTGTTACAGTTACAATTTACTTCATTAAAAAAAAGTATTCAGTAACGTAATCCAAGTACCACAATATAAAAGTAATGTAATCTGATTCATTTTGGATTACTTGAAGTTACATTTGTAAATAAGTCAAAAAAGCAATAGCTAAGTACTTTTATTTAACTTTGACTTTAAAATTAAAACTAATAAAAACTATAGTAAAAACGATTTGAAACTATTAAAAACCGTGTCTTCTTTCACCATCTAGATTTTACAGGCCGTATATTTATATGAAAGGCTATGCAGACATCTAGTGGCTGTACAGTTTAGTATTACATTTGTATTTGTATAATTTTTTTTTAATTTCTTTAACATGTACAAGTAAAAATAAATATAGTTTATACACAACATTACATTTTTTTTTATATCATATACATATTACTCTATTTTAAAATAAGCCTACATGTCATAAGCATTAAAATAAGCTATGATCTTTATTTCATTGACTGATTCATTGACTCTCATGTTAATTTCTACATTTTCAGGCTCATTTTCTGCTAGAAAACTTACAACTGCAGTCATGCACACCATGGAATTTTAAAGCACTAACAAACACTAAATTTTAGCTAACATGATGATTTCCATGCTAGTCGGACTCGTACCTGCAAATGTTCAAGTTGGTTGAGTAGCCTTTGTTAAAGCAAGCGTCTTCATGCATTGTGTATGTGATAGTGTGTGTGTGTGTGTGTGTGTGCGCGCCGCGCGCACAAAAGGAGTACAACAGTTCAGATTTTTTTTTCAATAGCCACCAACAAAGCTATATAATTATTTCAAATAATTTTCATAATACATTTTACCAACTTTCTCTGTTTTCTGTGTATTATTACACTGATGACTTTGTCTGAATTATTATATTTTTTATGTAGTTGCAAAAAATTATTAGCTAGTGTAACAAAAAAAAGGAAAGAAACAATCCCTAATATTATTATGTTCACAGTCACTGCAGAAGCTTTTCTCAGTTGGTGTGGTTTGACAATAGACACAAGAAACACCTCAAATTTGTACTTGTTGCACCAGCTTCTTTCAGCTCATCGTTGTCATTTGTGCATTGCTGACTTTAGAAGCTGCTTGTAGTGAGACAATAACAGAAGTGTAAAGAGGCCTAATAAAATAGTTGAGCTGATGGTTGTGGTTTGACTTCTGCTCTGTTTCTGCTTTATATTTTAACCAGAGTCGGCAAGATATTTATTGTTATTCTGCATCTTTAGTTTCATAAACCTCAAAATACTACCACAAGAGCGGCATGTGCTTCTTCTTCTTAGAAATCCGTCTGTCTAATGCAAATTTAGGAGTCTATATTTTCTTATATTTTATTTGATAGTCAAGCAACAATAGTACCAACTGGTTAAGCTGGTTGAGGCTTCTGCCAGTTCTTGTTCTCCATAGTTCAACAAGCACAGTACCTGAGGAAATCAGCTTTTGTCTATAATGGATTTTGGTGGCCCTGCTCCAGTCTCTCCCTTTTTCTGACCACAACTACTTATGATGTGGATTTATTTTTATTTCTATGAGGTATCTGCATGGTACAATTATGCTGTATGGTTTGGGGCTTGTAAAACTGGGCAGACTCCTAATAACTGTATGCTGGCTTTGAATACTTTAAGGTTGCTTGATCTGCCTCCTAAATATATATACAGTATATATATAAAATATATATAAAAATATGACGTTCCACTGCTTTTGTTAGACTGAATGTCAAGCAGCACTCGATAAAGATTCTCAATAATGAATCCTACCTGAAAATACACTTGAGTCTCCAGTTTTTTGCTCCTACCACTTCCCAACTCTAAAAGTCACCACTGTCATGCAATATCCCCCTTTTTGAGAAGAAACAAACATTTTAAATATTGTTGTGGCAAATCAGTATCATTTTATAGCCTGTTTTATAAACACTTGTGTGTGACAGCTATATGTAATGATTTTTGCTATATGTACTGTATATGTAATTTCATGTGTTGATGTTCCTATTTTGTCTCTGATAGTTTGAACGTACCAAAAGAGAAGTGAAATATCTTAAACTTGATCTCTTTGTGTACTTTCTTCATATATTGCTATAGCAACAGTCACACTGGGTTTTGATTCTGGGTTATTGTTGCACCAAAGTCTTCGTGAAATACAGTGATGCATGCAATAATACTTAGTTGCCATTAACTGGCCGCTGTTGTTGACAACAGTCAAATAAGAGCGGGCCTTACAGGCGTACATTAGGAATCAACTCGTGATTTTACTTTGTTCACTGGTCTGTAATGTGTGTGGCTGTGTGAACGAATGAAACAATACAGTGCAAGAACTATTGGCAAACTTCTAAACTGTCTTTTTAAGTAGAGAAACAGAGATCTAACAACTTATATGCATTAAAAGAGTACATATCTTAGAATGGATCTATTTTTCTTTCTATTTCTTCATGCATTTCTGTGTAGAGTTTTGTCTCCTCCCTCATCTCTTCTTGAACTCTGAAACGCAGGAAATGTCTGATTTAGTGCACACAGCACTGTTAAAACAGACTATTGATGTGTCAGTATGGGGTCCAGTGCACTGCCTCTCATACTCTGTGAGTATTTCATTATATTCTACACTATCTTCTGTTTTGTTTTTCTGTTTTTAAAACAGTATTCAGCTGAAGATCAAAGAATGATTGTGCTGTGTGTAGGACGGTCTATGAATCCACAGTCTTGCTGTTTATCGTATTCACACCTCTAGTTTTCTCTTCCTCTTCTCTAAAGCAGTGCATGGCCTCGCCCCCTTTGCTGCCTTTTCCCGAGGACTGGGTTTATCTGGGTTTGTGATGTCACAAACCCGGGAAGTAACTTCTTGTAGTCCCTACCAGCCATTTTAGTAGGCATTAAACCACCAGAATTTTAAAAGACGATATCTCCGTTTGCATTGAACTTTCAGCTTCGTAACTTAAAAATGTCTAGATTTAATTGTATTAAACACAGTATATCAAACAAGTGGCATCTGCCAACAAAAATGATCAAGCTTTACTCTGAACTAACTTCTGCTTCCTGAGTGTTTGTGCTATATTTATTAACTGTCACTTGTTTTGACTGAAAAGCAAGGTGTGCTCTGATTGGCCAGCGATCCAGTGTGTTGTGATTGGCCGAATACCTCAAGCGTGTGACGGAAATGTTATGCTCCTTACC